AACAGTTATGATTAAATACATTTTAATATAATTCAGTATAATACAAATGTTATCAATAGGATAAAAAACATATAACTGTGTTGTGTACATATAGACCTTTCAATGAGATCATTAGACAGTGAGGTGGCTGCCCCATCCTTGCTCTGGTCACTGTATTGCCATTGTCACTCTGACTAAGCCAAGTGTACAGTGCCATACATATGTAGTGAGAAGTTCTTCCACCATGTGAACAGTCTGTGTCACACAGAGATATTCTGACTGCTATGTGCGATAGGTACAGGGAAATCCCCAAGATTGCTGTGATGATAAATAAAACCTGTGCTGGGAGAATTACAGAGGCTTCGGAAAATACAATTTTATTGGCTGTCACTGGCTTTACATCACTGTCTTGAAACAGGCAAATTAAGTCAAAATTTCTGATCTGTGTACTTGTTCTGGGTCACTGACTCAAAATACTGATCACCGCCTTGTCAGCATGACAGCCAGGCAACTAGCACTTTCAGAAGGAGATCAGCAATGTATCAGCATTCATATTTTCCTTTAGACTCCTTTAACTCTTAGGCTCCTTCCACACGTTCACAAGGTAGGATTACATGTGGTTTACAGTAGATGATTATCGCTCGACACAGGATAGATCACAATCATCTATCCCAAAGGGCATGTAATTGTTCTATGTGAATTACATGTGGACAACCACTGACAGATGCGGCCACTGTCACCCTGCCATTTACTTCAATGAGCCATTTACTTCAGCGGCCCCATCTTAATGGAGACATCCGGGATTTCTGCTGAAAAAATCTGTAGGTTCCTGCTGCAGGAATTCCAGAACGCCCCGTGTGAATGGAGCCTTACTCATGGCAAACAATGCTTCTGTATACCTGAGTGCTTGTTATTATTGAGCCATTTACTGTATGCCCCCCTTCACGTTTTACAACAACACGGGTAATGATAGCACTATACAGTATGTACAACTTATCAATAAATCATTATCAATATCCGGCTTTAATAATCTAATAATCATATCAATAAAGGATTATAACAATGTTAACAATGTAAATTTTAACAAAACTTACATGACTCCCAGGCCAAGCACGTACAAGAAAATGTAATTAATAAGTGCGTTAAAGATATTTGCTACCAATCCAGTTAGCACTTGTGGAAATATTATTCCCTGTAAGTGATACGATCTGTTAGCTAATGAACAAGGAGATACTGTATATTATTATTATTATTATACAGGATTTATAGCACCAACAGTTTGTGTTGCGTTTTACAAAATGAAGAAGGTTAGGAGGGCCCTGTTCAAGAGAGCTTACAATCTAGCAGGAGGGGATATACAGTATATACATGTTATATGGGTGGCTCATGTGACATTTACCATTTAGGCCCTGTTCACACCTGCGCGTTCTGTGAACGTGCGCCAAAGCGCGCGTTTATGTGCACGTTCGGCACGCGGTCGCAGAAATGCGCACAAATGTGCAATATGTATTCCATCTTAATGGCACTAACACACGCTAACAGGACACTCATTCCAACGATGCGCAGGTGTGAACTGGGCCTTACATAAGGTGTATTTTTCTAGTGTGTTTTAAATAGCAGTAATTAATAAACATGTAGAGTACATTTTATTCTGAATTAATTTTTTTACTAATTACATTAAATTTAGATATCCGGATGCATCCGAATTTCTGAATTCAAACACGTCCAAATGCGAATGCATTTGAATCTACGTTTAAAGAGAATTTGCATCCGTCCAAATTTTGTTCAAAACTAAACTAAATCTGACTGTTCTCTGGCCAATCACATGTTTTTTTGGGCTGCTAGGGGTTGCATTACAGGCAAAGTCATGTGACACGAGCTTTCAAATAGAAAATCGAACAGTTGATGGGACACCAATGATTTTTTTTACTGTACTGTGAGGTTGGACTATTTTTCCCAGGCCGAACGACTATTGATGAATCAGTGGGGTTTTCGTTAGCCAAAAGCCAAAAATCATTTTTCGTTAGCCAAAATCGTATCAAGAACACAGCACATGCGCAAAACGAAGTATAGTTAGTATGGCTATTCAACAATCTCCGAAATCGACATTTGACTCTGCTTGATGGGGTATTTGAGCTATAATCAAACAAGGGTTCATGGCTGAAACGAAAATTGCAGACTGAAAATCTACTAGTGATTGGCCAGCCTTAATGCTGTGGAGTAGGAGAGTCGATGAGAGCAGTAGGTGAGCACACGGTGTCAGAAATAAAATGACTAAAAATAACCCCCAAAAATGATTAAGTTAATTTATAATTAAAGAACCCCATCCGAATAGATCCAAAACAAAATCAAAGAATGAACTAAATCAAATTTCGGATCCGAAAGACAAAACAAATAAAAATCCAAATTGATTTGAAAAAAGAAACTAAACAAATTTTTTGCGGGGTTACATGTCTAGTAATTAATTAATCTGTAATGAATGTTTGGTAACTGTCACATTTGCTGCTTTATAAATATGCCCCTAACAGTGATATTATAGCACTAGTAAATAGTAAAATACCAATACGTACAGTAGACTTGTGCGCCGTCAAAAAATTTGTTCTGTTTCGTTTCGGAATATCCGTTATTTCGTATTTCGTAATTCGTAACTGAACTCAATTCGAATTCGTACGAAATACGAATTTTCGTTAGTGGCGGTTATATTTTCGTAACTTTACAAACATTCGTTATGATGAAGCTAAAAAGCAAAATACCTTTGTTAATATTGGAGTGGTAGTTGTTTTTTTTATCCGAAATACGAATCCGTCCGTTAACGGATTCCGTATCCGAATTTCGTATTTAAAAAAAAACTACATCAACTCCAATATAAATGTACTTTGCTGTTTGCTTTTTAACTTCAATATAAAACGAATGTTCGTAACGGAACGAAAATACGTCAACGGAATTTCGTATTTCCTGCCTGTATTTGTAATGCAACTCAGCAGCAGAAGAGAACCTCTGATTGGTCAACCAAAACGAAATACGAATTCTGTTAAAGGATTCCGTATCCGAATTTCGTATTTAAAAAAAAAATATCTTCAACTCCAATATAAATGTACTTTGCTTTTTAACTTTAATATAACGAATGTTCGTAACGGAACGAAAATACGTCAACGAAATTTCGTATTTCCTGCCTGTGTGTGTAACTGTGTATTGTAATGCAACCCTCAGCAGCAGCGGATCCGTATTTCGGATTTAAAAAAAAATCTTGTCATGTTGTTCAACCTCATTTACAGGGGTAATATTAGTTCCTGTTTCAAAGAAATTCGGATGCGAAATTCGTTAACGGAATTTCGTATTTCGGATATAATTCGGAAACTGTCATTCGGATTTCAGGGAAATTCGTACGAATTTCGATTCGTAACGAAACGAATCGCACATGTCTAACGTACAGAGGTGACTAAATATAGGGTGTTATGCGTGCTTGCGAATTGAAAATTTAGGGGGAGGAAAGGAGTGGTATCAAGGATATAACACCAGAACAAGAGAAGAGCAGGTTTGTGAATGTACTAGTTGTGTAATAATAACTCATTCATCTTAGTGAATAGAGCCTATTGTGTCTGTTCAAAGAAAGCACATTTAAAGCTACTTTAATACTCATCCAAAAGCAATTATTGATAAGATATTTTATCACGTTTGCTGTACCAAATATTAAAGCAAAAAATGTCATGTCAATCTAGATCTACTATGTGTGCACCAAATCTCTTTTTAAACCCAGATAATACCAAGTGAAAGTAGTAATAACATCAGCTCTGTGCTTGTGTAGATAGCAGAGCTGTGGGAGGGGTGTCAGTGGGCTCCACCCACTACAGGCTAAAGCAGGGGGCGGAGACAAGACCAGACACTCTGCACGAGAACAGAGAGCAGCAGTGACAGGTCTTTATTACAGGAAGTTCTTGTACAAAGGATTAAGTGCAGGCGTTATTTCATGCCGGATTACTGCACATATGTGGATGAAAGACTCTGGTTACAGTCCAGGTATCTCTAAATTGAATAGCGACATTTTAGAGGGCGCTACAGACACAAAACACACTAAGGGGCTGATTTATAAATCTTTCACTCATTTGCATGGCACTAACACCACTAGATGGCACTGAGGAGCATAAGACATTTCTATGCTCCTTATTGCTATCTAGTGGCGGTGCTGCCGTGTGAACAGCATTCGCTCAGCTATACACTGGGTGGAAGATTTATGAATCAGCCCCTAAGACTTAAATAACTATACACATGCCTCTTTTATAGGGACAACATTTGTATTGCCAAGTATTCAGCTTTAACATAGATTTTTAAGCTACGTATTGTTTTAACTGTTGGACGGAGTGGGAGTCAGGATCCTTATTCATGTCAGGATTTTATTTATGTCTGTGTACCCGTTGGAGAGATTTCCCATCCCTTCCTGTCCTGGTGTCAACAGTTAGTAAAGAATCTCCCTGATGTGGGCAACTGACAGCAACCTGACAGAGATTTAAACTCTTCCCTGTTTTCCTAGTAAAAGAGTTTTTACTGCTGTCTGTGTCCTTGTTGGAGCGATTTCTCTCACTTCCTGTCTTGGTTACACAGCAGGAAGTGAAGAGAAATCTCCTCAACAGAGATATGACTCTTCCTCACTTTATCAAAACTTAAATAGAAATATTTTTTACTTTTTTTAGTTCAGTCCATCAAAATGGCTCATTTCAGGTTTGTGAGGAACGTCCTCCACCTTCTACGTTCCACACTACAAAGACTTGCACAAGGGGGAGACCTCTTTGATTGGTTTTGCAATAGATGTGGCAATGCACCAGACCCAGAATATCAATACAGGAAGGTCTGTGCCATTTGCACAGCACTAGAGCCAGCAGATGCCACTAAGAAACATAGGAATTTCCTATGCCCCTCATCGCCATCTGAAGGCGATAGTGCCATTCGAATGGCATATAGAATATCAATACAGCAAGGTCTAAGCGCTAGAGCCTCTGAGAAATAGAATGCACTATTGGAAGGTTTAACCTGAGAATGCTGAAATATCATCTTTGAATGGACAGAGTCATTAGCAGGGCTGACTCATCTCTAGGATTCCGGTTTGTATCTATTTAATAACCTGTAGATGTCACTGTAGTATAACTCAACAGCAGGCCCTGGACCTGAACTTAATTGGAGAACATATACATAAAGCTAGTCTGCATTTTGTGGGTTCACAGTGTCTGTGGGTTTTGGTACCTGGTTCTGCAAATATTTGGCTTGTAGTTGATAAAGAAATGAAGCCTTAAAAAAAAGAAAAAAAAGTTAATGGATACAGGAAGTCAGAAATATTACAGAGAAAATCTCTTTCATGGTAAAACACCTACAAAATGATTATGACAATAGTAAAGTGTTTCTAACAGGGCTCAGATGTCAGTGATGAGTGTGGGGTGCAGAGGTGAGTAATGGGCATGGGGTGCAGAGGTGAGTGGTGGAAGAGGGGTGCAGGGTATACAGAGATTAGTGATGGCGGTGGGTGCAGAGGTGAGTAATGGGCATGGGGTGCCGAGGTGAGTGGTGGAAGAGGGGTGCGGGGAAAAAAGAGATTAGTGATGGGGTGGGGTGCAGAGGTAAATGATGAGCATGGGGTGCAGAGGGGAGTGGTCGTGTGGGGTACAGAGGTGAGTGGCGGAAGAGGGGTGCTGGGTACACAGAGATTAGTGATGTGCGTGGGGTGCAGAGGTTAGTGATTGGTGTGGAGTGCAGAGGAGTGATGGGCATGGGGTGCAGAGGGGAGTAATTGGTGTGGGGTACAGGGGTGAGCGGTGGAAGAGGGATGCTGGGTATACAGAGGTTAGTGATGGGTGTAGGGTGCAGAGGTGAGTGATGGGCATGGGGTGCAGAGATGAGTGTTGGAAGAGGGGTGCAGGGTATACAGAGATGAGCAGAGAAGCAGAGGTTTGCAGTGAAAGAGGGGTGCAGGGTAGGGGTTGGATGTATGTGTTTCTTAATGATTTCTTATATACTTAGTCAGGCTAGGTTCACCCCTGCACATATGTTGCTGCACTTTTCCCTGTAATATTAGAAGGGTTTTTCCTTTTTTATATTCCCTACATTTGTGTAAATGATAACAAGTGATCCTACCAGTGTATCCACAGGCACCTTCTTTCCTAGAGTGACAACCCTTTGTGAATTCAGCTAACTTGTTATCACCATTTCCTCCAGCCTTACAAGGTGGACTACAAGCAGCTGTGACTACAAGGCACATTGTACTGACATCATGTTCCACTCTGATCTCTGCAGTAAAACCATGACATTCAGCTACCACTGGAGCGCACACGTGTTCACAGGACAAGTTCATACAAACAATGTACAGGGTGTGCACAGGGCAGGATGAGAAGACATAAACAAAGGAGGGAGAAAACTATATTTTTGACACATATATAATGCATTCCTATTGTACTGACAGTGCTCTACAAAATGAAGTATTCTTTTGTGAGAGTTTAGTTCTAATCTAAGGGCGGGTTTGGATATATTTTGATGCAATCTTGATTTCTTACAATATCATATTCATGGAGCCATTGGAAACGGACATGTTTATACTTACTGGGAGGGCTGGAATGAATATCAGAACGTAGATCTGCGTCAGTCTACAGGAGAAAGAAAATACATCAATGATTTCATTTAAATCCTCCTGTGATAAGAAAGTGGACAAAATCCAGTGTCCTATCCTATCCTATTTCAGTGGCAGGGGACAGGAAGTGATGCTACATTCGCCCAATGGGGACACAAGCAGCGTTAAAACTGGGCAAGGGGTGTAATTCACCTGTACTCAAAAATAAAAAATAAAGTTTTATCTGGACTGTTTGAATGAATGATTACAAATGTACTGATAAAATCTACTAACATTGTTGTAGAACCCTGAGCACAGTTATCTGCCACTGCAGTCTCTGTAGACCTGAGCCAACAAAGCTGACTGCAGGGACAGTCCTGCACAAAATGGCAATTAAATAGCTATGCGGCGATCCAGAGACTAAGGGCTCATTCACACGGGAATCAGCCGGCATGTACAGCTCCGTGCTGCGTGCACGGTCGTATCAGGCAGCTCCCGGGAAGGACAGGTGCTGCGTGTGATTAGTACGAAGCCCCTGTCCTTCTCTATGGACTAGGCGGCCATATGCAGTGCAGGTCTGTACGGGTGCGTGCATCCCGACTCAGGTAGTACGCTCACCCGCGTAGTCCCATAGAGAAGGACAGGGGCTGCGTACTAATCACACGCAGCACCTGTCCTTCCCGGGAGCTGCCCAATACGGCCCTGCACACAGCACGTAGGTGACGGCCGATTCCCATGTGAATGAGCCCTAAAGCATAGGGGCTGATTTATAAATGTCCCCCCTAGCGTATAGCTAGTGGGTGCCGTTTGCACAGTACTAGCGCCAGTAGATGGCGATAAGGAGCATAGGAAGTTCCTGTACTCCTCAGCGCTATCTAGAGGCGCTAGTGCCATGTGAACGGCATCTGCCATCTATATGCTGCGCAAAATATATACAAATCTGCCCCATAGTGTTGTTATAGAGACTTTCTGGGTTTTGTGGCCACAGGGCTCCAGGAGGCAGAGGATGTAGGTGTGTTAAGAGCTATCCTACCCTGAGTAGCATTGATTAAACCCTAAACAGCTGTTAAACAAATACACTTCCCAGCTAGCCAGTGAGTGACACTGGAAGTGATGTAATGCACATCACTTCCGGGTCCAGTGATCGGAAGAGAGCTCAGCGGCTGGAAGCCTGCTGATCTCCCTACGATCCATCAGGGGAGACACACCATGCCGGTCCCAGGCTTGCATGGAGGAGAGCGGAGCCCTGGAAGCCGACGGCGGCACCGGCGGTGGAGGGGGGGGGGGGGG